AAACGGGAGCGGTCTCTTCTTTATCAGGTTCCCCCCGTTCTCGGATCCGCTTTTGCTCCCATCGTCGTCGTCATCATCATCGGAAACCAGAGCTTCAGTATCAGCTTCGAGTTCTTTTGCCCTTTTTATCTCTTCTGTGAGATCGAAGCCGCGAGCATGAATCTCCTCGAGAGTTTCTCTCCTGGATCGGTACTTAGCAAGTTCGGCGACCCAATGCGCCCGACCATTGGCGGATTCGGCTGCCTCTCTTGCCTGAACTTGGGCAGCTTCAGCATCAGCCCGATAGACGGCCACGAGCGCATCCGCATAAGTCTTTTCCATTTTAGCATCGGATTCGGCCTTGGCGAGTACTGAGGCCAACCGAGCCTCGAGCTCCACAATTTTTCTTGCTTGAACCAGGCCCTTTTCCTTCATTGTCTGAAGTTGGGTTTCAGACGATGATAACTGGGCTCGAGCAGTTTCTTTTTCTGCAGCAAAGCGGTCTATACCTTCTTTCCACCGCAAGGATTCCATCCTTACCACATCGACCTCCTCGCGCAGCTTCCCTATCATCTCGATTTTTTGCTGCAGCTGCGAGACCGAAATGTTAGCTACCATTCTGGTATCGAACCCATAGGCTTTCAAAATCATCATTACCTGCTCAGACAAATCATTCTGATCTCGATAAGCCTGGGCCAGCTCGGCTCGGAGATCTTTTATTTCCTCATCTCTCTGCACTAAGGAAAGTTTGAGAGAGTTCCTCTCATCGGTAGCGCGTTTCAGGTTGGCCGCGTATCGATGCAGCTCATTATGGGAACAAGAACATTGTTCTCGATGGACCGCCACAGCCTACGGAGGAACAAGAAGCGAAGTTAACGAAAGACGAACATAAAGGCAATACCAACAAAACGAACATAGAGACTCACCTGGTTCAAAGCCTGCCGCAAACCGTGAAAAAGATCTGATTCATCACTGGCACGGGCAACATCCTCGATACCAGTAAACAGGTCACGAAACGGATCCTCTTCATTGTGAGGCCTACCTAGATCGAGGGCTCCCAGAGCTTGAGCTTCCCGAATCACCCCTGCGGAAAAGGCGGGAAAAGTAGGCGAGTCCTCGATCGCTGCTGCCCTAAGTGACTCGCTCGGAGCATTCCCCTCGGCTTGGAGGGGTTCGAAGGGCTCTTCGATTATAACCCCTACCGGTTGATTCCGGTGAGAGGCGTCTTCGACGTCCGATAGTTCGGGGACTCTACCAGAACCTCTGTCCGGTATATTTTCAGTTCGAGATGGAGCCCCATAGGGCATCATCGATCCAGCCGGCATTGAAGCATCAGTGGCTCTC